CCAAAAAAGATCATTTTGGCATAAAGATGGGTTACAATGACGCAATTTCAAAGACAATGACCAAAATAAAAGTGATTTCCGGTGGAAAAATTTTATCACTAATGTGTGGGTGTTGCTAGGCAACAAATATTGCAGTGTTTAATCTCCACCCTTCCTAAGGAATTGCATGATGAAAGAAAACAAGCTTTTGTAGCGTTTAGATATAACAGTTGTGTCTAGTAATTCTTAGTCTTCTTTTTGAATGCTGTTTCTTTTATGTTGAAATACCTGCAATTCTTGTAAGCACGTATCAATCTACCCCCATTTTTTAAAAAGTTGGTTCTACTACCCATAATGATTAATGGGAATGTACTAAAATTACCATAAATCGATTAACAATATTGCATCACTATAATAGATGGCTACAAGTGACAAAAAAATAGATGCTAGTCATCTGAATTTGAATGCCTATATGATTTATTAGTATCAATACTTAGACAATATATGTAGACATGTGTTTCAAAGAGAAAATAAACTCCAGAGATTAAGAAACAACTATGCTTTTATAATTGTTATTTGAAAAGATTTGTATGAAGCTAAGACCTTATTTAGTATCCCATGTATGCTTCAGTGCCTAAATAAGTTCCAGTAAAATTAAACATCCATAGGTAACTCTTATTTTGGAGCACACATTATATATTTAAGGAAATCTAAGAAATATCACGAACATTTTCAAGTTCTGGTAAAAAAGAACTGAATCTGGTAAGTTAGAACAACTAACAACTTTTTTTAAAAATTTTATTTATTTATGTATTTATTTTTTTGAGACAGAATCTCACTCTGTTGCCCAGGCTGGAGGGCAGTGGAGTGATCTTGGCTCACTGTAACCTCTGCCTCCCGGGTTCAAGTGATTCTCCTGCCTCAGCCTTCTGAGTAGCTGGGATTACAGGTGCCCACCACCACGTCTGGCTAATTTTTGTATTTTTAGTAGATACAGGGTTTCACCATGTTGGTCAGGCTGCTGCCAAACTCCTGATCTCATGTGATTCGCCTGCCTCGGCCTTGCAAAGTGCTGGGATTACAGGCATGAGCCACTGAGCCCGGCTGAAAACAACTTTTTATGTGGTTCAGTTTTCTCATCTATAAAATAGGGATAACACTAAAACATACTTGTATTATCACAGTAATGGTTATTTAATTAAAAATGGGGAAGCATTGGATGAAATACATTCCAATAAACGGTGAAGCTGTTATTGTCCCAAACACTATGTCAATTATTATGAAGTGGAGAGCTAAGAAATGATCTTTAAAAAGTTCATCTACATAGATATTCATGCTGCAATAAACCTCCACTTTTACAAATCTAAGAAGATGGTAATCCTTAGACTGTTAGAATAATTCGAATATTTGTTCTTAACTCTTATTTTCATGTGGTAATAACCTTGATTAACAAGGTTATCGACAATCTATCCTAGTCCAAAAGAGCCTGTAACAACCAAGGCTAAAGTAACGTTAATTACAGGATTTCTATATCGTATCTATTATTTCAATGAAGAACTAGAAAACAGGAACCTAGGAAACAGACTTAATATTTCTTCTCAAGAATTATAATAATCTGTTAAAGTGTATAAAATGATCCCTCCAATGTCTAATTTAAGAGCATGCCCAGTGCAATTTTACCAATTCATTTTGCCATTCATATTATATTTTCTCTACAAATAGAAGAATAGGTACATACCAATAACTCAGAGTTCTCAGCAACTTTCACAATGTAACCATCCTTAAGATGGGGAGAGGGGAGAGGCAGATTTCATCTACTAAACCTTGCAGTAGTCAACATTAGCTTTGTAAAGCAATTAACCTTTGACATTACATTAAATTTATATCAAAAATGGATGTTTTAACCTCAATGTCAATCATTTTATAGGTGTGAAAACTGAGGCCCAGAGCCTTTGGTAAACCAAAGTCCTTCTATTAGCAGCTCCCCTAAATAATACCATGGTCCCCTAAAAACTACTACTTTATTATCAACCTCTTTTTCTCCTCCATCTTTCATAAAGATAATTAAGAAAAATAGTCCTTCTATTTTTGGATCCAGCTAGCAAAATGGGCATCTTATGCAAATTAACATTAGAATTTCAAAACTAGACCACTAAAATAAAACATGCCACTAATTCATTTTACAGAACTTGAAGGCTCAACTTTAAGCTGGAGCACATTAGCAGAGTGGCAGTTAAATCTTCAAAGATGCTACACTTAATTCCTCTCTTTTCTGCATATGCAACCCTTTGTTCCCGTTAAGAGGCAGACTGTATCTTTTCTCTGTGTGAATCTGGGCTGCCCTTGGGACTTATTTTAAGAGGCCTGCCACTTCTGCCTTCATATCCTCTTGGGGAAATCAGTCACGCTGTAGAGCAGCAGTTTGGGCTGGAGTCTGAAATGATGAGAGAGGAAGTGGAGACAGATAGTCCATGTAGAGAACACCTAATGGCCAGACTTGTTGAGTGAAGCGAGTGGACCTCCAAGACAAACCCAACTACCAGTCGAATACAACTGAAGGAGTGAAGCCAGTTAACGTTACAGGAAGCAAAAAAACCTCATAGCTGGGCTCTAGCTAAGTTCCCGACTGAAGCATCCTAAGTAAGAAATAACAAACCATTATTGCTTTTTCAGCTGCTAAGTCTGGAGTTGCTTGTGTAGCTATAGATTGCTGAAATGAGTGTTAGCCAGCAGCACTAATTTAAAGTTTGGAGTTTTAGCTCCATTATATATTTTCCCAGGAAAATAAAGGAGAAAAACCAGAATCTGTAAGTATGGAATAAGGAAAACCCATGAAGGAGAGATATTTCTACACTTGTAGATAGAGACAGAGTTAAGATAAAATATAAATGACCAACTATGATGGGTAAATCCCCTGCTATAGAAATGCAAAGACACAGAAGTTAAGAGTTTCTGCAAGCATGTTGTAACCAGTTGAGCTTAAAAAAAGAAAAAAAATAAGGTGTACACACAGAGAGATGGGCCGTGGCCAGGAAAAGTTGCATTGACACTAACGTAGTATAGTGATGAGCAAGACATTGAAAAGATCTGGTTTAAAATATACTAAACATGGGAGTCAAAAGATTTAGGTTTAAGTCTTGGTTTTCTCCCTTGTCAAGTAGTCATGATATCTCTCTGGCATTTTTTTCCCCTATAGCTCTAAAATATTCTGCTCTGCTATATGTAGAGTAAGATCCACCGTTAGCTAAGCTGGTTGACTTTGACAAGTCACATACTATTTGAATCACAATTTATCATCAACAAATGATTGGTTACAATTAATGACCCATGAAGCAGACCCTGAGGTGGCCCTTGTAATAAAAATATGATCAAGACTGGTGTTCAGAGAAAAACACCTTTTTATTGAGCCAGAAAAAGAGTACAAGCTAACATCTAGAGGCAAGAATTCCTTTATGATCATTAAATATTTTTTAAGTATATAAGGCATTGTACTACAAGGTGAGTGACAGACAAAGCCCAGCCTTTAGGAAGTCTGTATCTGAGGAGTTATAAGGGAATCTAAATATCTATTTCCTTTTTTTTTTTTTGAGACGAAGTCTCGTTCTGTTGCCCAGGCTGGAGTGCAGTGGCACAATCTCGGCTCACTGCAACCTCCGCCTCCTGGGTTCACGCCATTCTCCTGCCTCAGCCTCCCAGGCAGCTTGGACTACAGGCGCCCGCCACCACACCTGGCTAATTTTTTGTTTTTAGTAGAGACGGGGTTTCACCGTGTTAGCCAGGATGGTCTCGATCTCCTGATCTCATGAACCGCCCTCCTCAGCCTCCCAAAGTGCTGGGATTACAGGCGTGAGCCACCGTGCCCAGCCCTAGGAATATAAATATCTATAATAACAAGCAAAACATCAGCCAACTTGGGAAAAGCGAGGGGTGGCAGGAAGGAAAAAAAGAAAGCAAAACGTAAGTGCAAGTCATAATAAAGGTAGAAAATATATGGAAATTTAGAGAGAGATGAATCAAACAGCATTAAGAGCTCTTGGAGGACAGATTGGATTTTGGCATGTAGAAGTTTACAGAAGATACATTATTAAGAAGGGTGATTTCTGGGCTGAAGAAATGACAGCAGCAAAGTTGTCACTATGATGAAACAGAAAAAAATATTTAGAGAAAAAGAGTATTAGACAACAGCTTGGAAAGCAGAACAGAACACAATATTCTGGAAAGCCTCAAGTTGCCAGATATTGGACTTTGTTGTTAGACAGTGAGGAAACTGCAAATACCTAGGTATGACAAAGTTTTAAAAAAAATGGGTTAAAAAGGTTAAAGAAACAAACACGGCTTGGTGAGATACTGGTCAATGGCTGAGGAAAACTTCAAAGCAGATAAGCTCTGAGCTTGGAAGATTAGGCAAATCATTAAGTGAATGTGTAACACCAGGAAGGAGTTCACAGGAGAGAAGGTGAGGGCACAGAAGAAAAAAGCAGCCTCATTTTTCCATTTGCTAACCATTTTCATAGTCATTCTTATTATGTAATTCATAATTAAAATGAGTTTTAAATCTGAAGTTTACCATGAAGGGGTAATCCCTCATTTATCTGTGGATACTGCTAATAGTAAGTCTATGGATACACCTTTCTGGTGTGTGATGTGGATTGCTTTTCTTAGCTTCTAAACTTTCCCAGCACTTCATCATTCACCAAAACCCAACAAGTGTCCAAGTTTCAATTGCCAAGGCCTCTGCTGGATCCAAAATCATTCTCAAGAGGACGTATAATCACCACTGACTACAAAGAAAAAAATACCTAAGCTGGTGCTCCAAAAGTTAGTCATTACTAAGAAAAGCAGACGTTTTAGAATTAGTAACATGTGAAACACGATTCACTTCAGCTGGCTGGTGAAATGTCAAAAAGGCTTGACAGAAAAACAGAAAAGATGTCAACTGGCAGGAGAAATGTATGGCTCTCCAAGGACTCTGGGGCAGTACACAGAAGGCGAGAAAAATGCACTGCACTCAGAGAACTTACCTGGGCAAACTTGTGAATCTGTTCCACCACTGCAGCAAAAAGAGCATGGACACTCTCATCGATCAGACTCTGCATGTAATGCACAGCCTCTTCATCCGACAGGTCTAAACGGAATTTATCCTGAACCTATAAGATAACACTCTTAGTCTTTACAATGAAGAAAAATAGGGCACATTTTGAACAGACAGAATCAAACTGATACAGACATTATAAAGTAACATGAGCTATTCCTATGGCAAATAAATGACCTGTAACTTATCAGAATGCTGAATGCAATTCTCTGGAGTGTACAAGTTTGCTGTTTTTGTTATATGCTCTGCATATCACCTCGTTCTTGTTGGCTATAAACAGTTTTTAAGAAAAGAAAAAAGAAAAGAAGAAATTTTTCTTAGGGTCCTACATTTTAAAAACAGATAAACTGCTCTTATAATTAAAGGTGTGCCTTATTTTTTTTTTTTAATCTAAAATCTAGAGTGACTATATATGATTTAACATGTGGCATATTTATTAATAATCCACTTTATCCCTGTTATTCCTTGCGAAATGGATGAAGCAAGGTGAGATTATATTAATATTCTCCCATACCTTCAGTGGCTACATAAGAACAGGAACAATGTCAATCACTGACAAAATAAACTAAATGTGATTTTCTAAGGTTTCCTTTCCTTTTGAATGTCCCTATATCCCAGCACAAAACTGTGTCAATAGGTCTATAATTTCCAAAGATAAAAGAAATTTTTTACTCCTATTTAAAGCTACAGTTGATTTTCAGTAGCATTAAGTATTAGAAAAATTAGTATCTATATTTACGTGTGTATATTTTATATATACATAAAAGTCAATGTTACTGAAGAACTACTTTGTGCAAAACGCCATGCCAAGTATCATACATGCAACATTTTATCTGACTGATGACAAACATACAGTAGATAGTATCTCATCAATAAGATGCAGAAATTGAGGCACAGAGAATTCATGAAGCCAGCTCAGGGACCCTTAACTGGTACATGCTTCCAGACAATCCCACGCCACCACACAACCATTACACACTACTCCTTTCTCTTGTAAATAACCCACATATACTTCTCAAAGACAGGCTAGGATAAAGTGGGGTTTCCAAGTGGACAAAGTGTGGCCCACAATTTAGGGTTTCAAGTATAAGGTTTCACTACTAGAAAGCTACAAAGAAGAAAGGACAGTGTAACAACCCATAGCCCCAGCTCAGTGCCCTTGTCTCTTCATGGTACTGGAGGTATACCAGGTGATCTGAGAGTGCTTGAGCCTCAAGACAGGGGGAGGTAAAAGAGAGGTAAATGTAAAAAGTGAAGACAAGAACAATTTGGTAGAGGAACATCTAAGGCTGTATCTTCAATGAACTAGCTCTCTCATTTCCTGGATCCCAGATAATAACAAACATAGTCCTTGAGTTTGATCTTTTGATTTCCTTCACTTCTACTTACAGAGAGAATATCTGACAATTTTGGAACTATTTTTAAGGACATAAAAAATCTACAGAGTAGGAGAATCAAAATAAATTTTAGCCAAATTTATCAAAGCTTACATACTTACCTAAGTGCCTGCATTACAAAGAGAAGGTATGCACTTGGCATAAAAATATAATGTTATTTACCAAATATGAAAATATTCGCTTTTATACCAAAAGGTTAACTGTATATAAATAGTTATTTGGTATCAGATTTACTGACTTATGTTAAGCTGTCCTCTAGGTTCTTAAGATTCTTAACACATACACTAATTAATTGTAATACTTAAGGCTATTGTAAATCAACCACAACTTTATAAACTAAAAAAAACCATTCCCCATCTTTGGAAACTACAGACCTATTCAGGTAGCCCTTTGCAAGGATATAGGGAAATTCTATAGGAATGGAGATATATGAGAAGATCTAGTTTAGTTTATTTTGCCAGTGATTGACATCACTCCTGTTCTTCCACATTCCTGTTCCACACATCATTACTTTAAAGGTGTGGAAGTAAATTAAATAATTTCCATTGATTTATCTTTAAGTTCACTGACTTCTAATGCCATAAAATCCAATTTGCTGTTAAGCCTACACAATTAATATTTCATTTTAGCTAGTGTACTTTCAGTTCCATAATTTTCATTTTGTTCTTTCTTGCTAGTTTTAATGTCTCTATTGATAGTCCTATCTGTTCGTAATTATGCATTTATTTTCCCTTAGGTGTATGGATATTTATAACAGCTGCTTTAAAGTCCTTTTCTGTGGTCATGGGTCATCTGAGGGTGTTTCTACAGATTGTTTTATTTTTTCATTGGCTTAGTGTCACATTTTCTGTTAATTCACACATCTAGTTATATATATATAAAAAAAGAGATAATAGACATTCCAAATGATATATTAGAGAGACTATGAATTCCGTTGTGTTCTTGTGAAGATTCATTGTGGCTGGGAATTAACTTGGCTAAATTCAGTTTTAAAATAAATCCTCCCTATGATGGACAATAGCTGAAAACTCTGCTCAGTTCTTTAAGCTTTGGGCTGCTGCTTCCGCCTCCCTGTGACTGCAGAGCTGGAGTAGCAAGCTGTCTCTCCAGATATGGGAACCTATTCATGTAACTGGGGGCATGAACAAATAAGGGGATAAAACTGGCTGCAGAGACTTGGAATTTGTTGTATTCTGGAATATGGAAAAATTATACAGAAGAGCTCTTCATTTATGTTACTTAAAAATTACCTTTTTCACAGTTTTATCTGGTTCAAGTGCAATATCTGGAATGTTTGCATCAACCATCAAGGAAAACAAGTTCAAAATCAGATTAGAATACCTAAAGAAGAGCAGAAAAGGAAAAAAAAAAAAAAAAAAGCAACAATTAAGAATTCTGCATTTCTTTCTCATATTAAGAAATTTCTAGAAGTAGTGGTACTTGGATTTTTACAGTGATTACTATTATTCTAGCAGGAAATTCATCAGTTGGTATCAATGAAATGCAAGCCTTGACAAATATTTTATTTTGGGGTCTTTATATAACACCATTTCTAAATCCTATACCATGGGGCAGACCTTTGGAGTAATCATCCAGTAATGACATTCTTTTCATTTTTTAGTAAGAATATATATTTTTAGAAGGGATCTGAGGAAGATCTACTTTATGTCTAATTCACATTTTGTAACAATTAAGATCTATCTGCTTTTGCTAGATGAAGGTAACAATCTGCTACTTTAAGATGACCTCAGTGTGTCATGGCTAAATGAATGAAAAGGAAATAATATCATCCCATGCATCACTTGTATCTTCCAGATATACCAATCATCATTTCAGGAACTACAGTGACTGACCTGGATAAAAATAATTCTAGAAGAAAAAATTGCTAGTACTCTGCTGCACTAAAAATGGGCAAGATCCCTAAATAAATATCATCAGAGCATGCTGGCCTCCAACAGCAACTAACAGTTTCTCTTCACCAATCCTCAAACTCTTCCTCTTCCTCCAAAGAAAACAATGTTACTCTTCTGAATGGTCATTTCCAGAGGCGGGGCCTTGTGGGGGAAGGTTTAAATAAATCTCCACTGGGACCTCTCCACTTTGGCTCTTGGTGGCCCCTCCTTAGCACTGACAAAAAGAGATTCAGGTTTGATCTTCAGGATGGATGTAAGGAAAGCGTTGGTTTTCAGCAATGAAGGTTTTAGCTGTTTCAGTAAAAACGTCAACCAAGTGCCTTGCATTGTCTTCTCTAGGGGATGGGGGCAGAATTTGGATGATGTAGGATCTTTATCCCAGCTACGTACCTATCTATAATGATAATAATAATAAAATACAAACTGTTAAAAACTGTTTAATACTTATTCTGTAATGATAATGGAACTTGTATAGAAAAATGACTATCCATATGAGTTTCAAGTTATCTATTTTATCTTCATTTCTGAATTTTATATTCCTCATAAAAATCAAGAGGAACTATAATGAAAAACTTCTACCTTGATGTAGTCTAATCAAATCACACCCTAACCCAAACTCTTAGGAAAAAAAAGTTATAATAGCTAAACAGCTTTAACCTAGCTTTAAGTTATTAATTTATTTGTGGGAATTGATAAATGCATACCACAGATGTTATTCCATTCCTACTCATATAATCATTTTATTCATTCAGTCAACAAATATTTACTTAGTACTCACTATATCCACTGTTGTGGGCACTAGGGATACAGACAGTGGTGAACTGAACAAACAAGGTCCCCACACTCATGAAGTTTACATTCTGGAGGAAGGTGGAAACTAATATAATAAACTGATAAACATGATAATGTTATGTCTGCCTGATTAAAAGATTTAAAAGAGAAAAAACAACAACAGGAAAATGGGTCAGAGAGAAAGAGGCATCTTAAGGCGGTATGGTTTTATTTGAAATGCACTGAGAAGCAACTGAGTTTAAGGAGAGGAGTGACACATATTGATATGCATTTTTAACAGTTCACACTGGCCATCTTGAAGGGAATAATAATTGAAGTAGAGAAACTATATCACAGACTTCCAGGTGGACAAGAAACTACATGGGGGCTATCAGGCTATATTTTGGAGATGAAATAGATGATCCTTGCTGATGGTTTCAATGGAGGTCAGGGTGAGAGGAAAGAGAAACTGAAAGACACAAAGGATTTAGCCTAATGGGACACCAGTGTTATTCACCAAGACAGGAAAGGCTAAATGGAAGAGGAACAGGATTTTAGACAGGGACTCAAGAATTTCATTTTAGACATGTAGAGTTTGAGGTGCCTAACTAGATTTTTAGTAGAGATGTCAGATATATATCAGAGGAGATATGAAGGCTAGTGATATTAAAGTCATCAGTAATGGGATCATATGTAAAGTCACAGGATTAGATGAAAATGGTGGTGGGGGGGGGGCAAAAATAAACGTCCAGAATGAAACCCTTTATAATGATAATGAAGCTTCTACATAAGAGGTGCCCCATCTTTTGGTTTCCCTGGGCCACAATGGGAGAAGAATTGTCTTGGGCTATAGATGAAATACACTAACACTAATGATAGCTGATGAGCTTAAAAAAAAATCTCATAATGTTTTAAGAAAGTTTATGAATTTGTGTTGGGCTGTATTCGAAGCTTTCCTGGGCTGCATGTGGCCTGGGGGCCACGGGTTAGATAAGCCCTTCTCTATGGAAATACAGATGATCCACTTGAGAGGGCTGCAAGGAATGCGATGCCAGCAGCATGCAATCAGCTGTTACACATTATTTAAAAAAAAAAAAAAAAAGATGCTCTTTCAACTAACTCTCCATCATTCGTACTCCGCTTTGTTGATTATATAGGTACATAATTTTTTCCCATCTTGGCATGGGGAAATCTACCAGAAGGTAACATAAGGAGAAGAATACAAAGTCAATTTTGAAAGAGATATATTAGAAGTTCTCCAACTTGGCTGCCCATTAGATTCAGTTGGGTAGCTTTTCAAATGTATCAATGCCTGAGCCCAATCTCAGACTAATTAAATATGAGGAAGCCCAAACCTTTCCCCTTGCCACCTCATCGACAAGCTCCCCAGGTGATTCCAATGGGCAGCCAGGATCAATGTTAAAAATCTGCTTTTATGGAGGCCGAATGTGATATTCCTTTTAAAAAAGGTAAATACTAATGCTTTCTGGATTATCTCCTGATTTAAATTTAACTATCCATGCTTCTATTGTTATAGCAAAGGGAAACAGAAATAAACAGAAAGGTTAGACATCCACATACTTCGTGAATAATTTATCACTACCTTTGATATTAATCTTTTACATCTGTTGTCATTAACCTGCATTTTCCATTTAAGACATAAGTAAACCAAAATAGCAAGTGTTTACTGAACAGGGCAGTCATTTAATGTCCTATCCAGAAACACAAATTTAAACGCCACTTGACTTTTTTTTTTTTTGAGATGGAGTCTTGTTCTGTCACCCAGACTAGAGTACGGTGGCACGATCTCAGGTCACTGCAACCTCCGCCTCCCAGGTTCAAGCGAGTCTCTTGCCTTAGCCTCCCAAGTAACTGGGACTACAGGCACATTCCACTATGCCAGGCTAAGTTTTGTATTTTTAGTAGAGACAGGGTTTCACCATGTTGGCCAGGCTGGTCTCGAACTCCTGACCTCAAGTGATCTGCCTGCCTCGGCCTCACAAAGTGCTGGGATTACAGGCATGAGCCACCCCACCTGGCCAACAAACCAGTATTAGACAACCTAAGATTAAAAAATAATAATAGGGCGGGAAAGTGTGCAAAATCTATTCTAGCAAAGATTGCAAGATGGAATGTGATATAGTTAGGGTTTTTAGAAACAAGCAAGTTGCACGTAACATTCAAGGAAACTGAACTCTTTCTCTTACCCACGTTCACGTCAACTATCATGCTACACTCTAGTCATACAAAGATAATTTAAATTTTTCAGGAAAAACCTTCATTACTGAAAACAGAAATCCATTGACTACACTGAGGTTCTTATAGTATTTCAAAGGTCAATTTCCTCTACATTCTATTTTCCATGACACAAAAATCAGAGTTCCTGTGAAAATGTTATTTAATAAGTGTACTACTTCAAAGAGGGGAAGCAATGTCGTTAATGATGTATGTGACCAATAAAATTACTGATGTTTCGTGACTAGGCAAACATCTCTGAGACAATATGAGAAACTTACTTGATACAGTTAAATGCATTTCTTTTTTTTTTCTTTTTTCCCCCCGAGACAGGGTCTTGTTCTATTGTCCAGGCTGGAGTTCAGTGGTGTGATTTTGGCTCACTGCAACCTCTGTCTCTCGAGTTTAAGCGACTCTCATACCTCAGCCTCCCTACTAGCTGGGATTATAGGCGTGCACCACTACGCCCAGTGATTTTCTGTATTTTCTTTTTTAGTAGAGACAGGGTTTCACCATGTTGGTCAGGCTGGTCTCGAACTCCTGGCCTCAAGTGATCCACCCACCTCAGCCTCCCTAAGTGCTTGGATTATAGGAGTGAGTCACCATGCCCAGTGGGTTAAATGCATTCCTTATTTCATTATTGAAAATCTTTACCAAAAAATGTAGAAAGAACATCTTTGTAACATCAGTGTCTAAAAATGGTGTTTGGCATAAGTGTGGGTTGGGAGAAAGACAATATGTACTGATTAATAAGAGATGATAATGTATTTTGTAACCATTTATAACTAAGTTCAAAATGGCCTATTCTGCTTATGTGGTACGATGTTATTCAGTGGTTTCTTTCTGAAGAAACTGATCCATTATCAAGAAAAACTATAAAATAACGGGGCTGGTCATACCTATAAAGCCTAATAAAAGTACCGATAACCTTAGCTCCAAACAACTATCAGGTTAATTCTTACATCCTTGAAGGCATTTTTTAAAACCAACTAAAACATACTCTAAAATACAACATTAAAAAATAAATGTTGGCCGGGTGCAGTGGGTTTATTCCTACAATCCCAGCACTTTGAGAGGCCAAGGTGGGCAGATAGCTTGAATCCAGGAGTTCAAGACCAGCCTGGGCAACATAGCAAGACCCCACCCCATCTCTACAAAAAAACACAAAAAATTAGCTGCGCATGGTGGCATACACCTGCAGTTCCAGCTACCTGCAAGGCTGAGGTGGAAGGATCATCTGAGCCCAGGAAGTCAAGACTGCAGTGAACCATGGTTATGCCACTGCACTCCAACCTCGCTGAGAGAGTGACAACCTGTCTCAAAAAAACAAACAAAAAGTTGATCAAACAATTTGGGTCCAGATAATATAAAGTGAAGTACAGGGAAATTTTTAAAAGTTAAACAGTTTTCATTAAAACTTTGCATAAAATTATTTAATCTCTCTGTGGCTTTTCTTTGTAGCGAGGAAGTCAACCTTGGCTCTCCATTAATAACCTGCCTGTTTTCTCATTCTATTGAATTGCTACTAATCCTCTACCAATGACAGTTTATAAAGCACATTGTTTTCCTTCTGCTTTCAATAAGATAGAGCACCTTTGACACTTCTCTAGTTATCATTCCTTACCATCTTGTCTGCCACCTCCCTGAGATATCCATGGTTCGACTTAGTTTTCTATGGGCTTTGACTATTTTAAATTAAAAATCCCAGATATTAAATGGCACTCTCATCTCTCTGAAAGTGCTTCTGCATCACCAAACAAATCTAAAGAGCACTGATTTTCTCATTATTCTTCTAGCATCTCTGGAGGGTAAAACTAAGCCATTCTGCCACCCAAAGGATAAATAACACGGCCATTTGTAAAAAGGCCTGTTACAGGATTTGTGATACGTGGAGAAGACTGAGTTCACAATGAAGACCTAGTCATTGCATAAATGAAACTCGATTACTATAAGAAAACCAGTCTTTTAGGACCAGCACATCAACATCAAACGGGAACAAGGCCTCACACTAGACCAGAAGCAGGAATTCTGAGGGTTCTCATACAAATACGAAGAAGTTCTCAGTGAATAAACATACAATGAGTGCCTACGTACTAAACACTGTATGAGTAATCGAGGTTACAAAGGTTATGAAGACAAAGGAGACAGAACCCACATGCACTGGCAACTTGCTATCTATTGGTTATATTTTCACCTGGAAGAGCATGTATATATGCTTCCTGGACTGGGATTTTCTGCTGGACTAAGAAAAAGTCATTTTGCATAGTTGGGCTGAAAACAACAGTAGAGTCAAATGATCCTGTCATTTTTGACTAATAATCATCAGAGCCATATCCTGAATTTATCAAACATGACTTTTATTTTCCTTCCTGATGACATATGATAGTCAGTCCTAAGTAAATTAGGAAGAAGGAAGCACAGATATAGTGGCGTTGAAGAAAAAAGGATGGAGAAAAAACATTTTTTTTGTAGCAGAATGACTGATGATGTGTTAAAAAGAGATAAAAATCGTATTTAACATTTACTTCAATCATTGAGCAAACTTTTCAATATTCCTGAAAAGTACCCAAAACTAAGGAAGCTAAAGAATAAAAATGATTGAACTAATATCACTCTAAAGAAGTTATATCCTACATTCTTTGATAAAGAAATAGGAAGTCAGCTAGGGAGAAGGAAGAGAACCCAGTAGGTGACTGTACTACTGCGGGACTGTCTTCAGGCAGATCTGAATGGTATGAAGTTTCTTAACCTTTTCTCTATCTCAGTACTATCAAAGTACACTTTATTAAATAAAGTGACATCAACCCACTGAGTTGGAAGCCTCCATGTTTGCTTCATCTTATGTGACGCCAGCTTCCTGCCTGGTGGGATACAGTAATGAGATAGTGGGAAAGCGAGAAAGTTTGTCTTTTTCCTTTGATATTTGACAGTCTGTCAAAATTGGTATTAAATATAAGACAGGAAATACTGTTGCCTTTGTCATTTTGATAAAGTGATCAATGCTAAAGAATGCATACATTTAAACAACTCCTTCTCTTGTTCTATAAAATAAAATAAATTTACCCAAATTCTCTGTGCCAAGCAAATCAACTTACCTTCGCAGGTGGAGGAAAGCCGTGTAACACTGTTTACGGAACTCTTGGTACTGCTCACTCTGTGTGCCCCCCATTCCTTCTACCATTTCTTTATTCAGCTTCATTGGTGGAGGAAGAGGCTTCGGATCCCGACCCAAAATATATCCAAAGTCTATGTGGAAGAGTTTGCCTGGATGTTGACAAGAAACTCATTTGTTACCAGAATTATCTTAAAGAAATTGGTAGGGGATATGTCACACAATTGTCTCTTCATAAAGAATATTAGTTCAAGATGAAGCCTATTAAATTCTTCGATATTTCTAACTGCAAGTTTGAGAGTGGCCTTGGAAACATAATTAACTCATTTTAACTCATTCATTCAGACAAAATGATGCCTAAAATCGTGTCAAAGTAATGGTAACCTATGTTAAATCCTATTTATAAGTCTTCAGAATCAAAGACGGTTAGAGCCTGGATAACATTTTAAGGTATCAGCAGAAATTGGAATCTTGTAGCAAATTTTTTGTGCTAAAGTTTAAGCACAGTGTCCTTCATATAATGGAAAATCATTTCTTTATTCCTGAGATGAATCCTTCGGCTAATTTATCATTACTCAAAAAAAAATTTTAGAAAGGAAAAATTTTAAAAACCATATTCTTAGCATAAATAGCAATTCAGTTGTAATAATATATCACCTATCATTTTAATGTTGTTAAATTTTACTAATCTGTAACATAGATTTATAAATCTGTTTTCATTGTACAGTATATAAGAGTAAGCACAATTATGAGGTTTCATGTTGTACATATTTAAGATCATAAAATGTCAACACGGGGGGTTTCATTTCCATTAAAAGAAATCACTGAATGATTTATGACTGAAAAACCACTCTTTCGGAATCCCAAAATGGGCTTCGATGGTCTCTAAGTACAATGAAACTGATTTTGCGGGGAGATCAATACACTTCACCAGATTCCCAAGTAAAGTCCATAATTCAACAAATATGAGGAACCAGTTTCACAAAAGTGAATTTGATAACTTCAGTACCCACTGGAAAAGCAACATCCCTATAGTCTCTTAAGGTTCAAGGGGAGTATCTTATGATTTCAGTTTTCCACATCTGATGAAAAGTTCAGGATCAATTTCTGTTAACCATTTTACCACCTTCAACTAAGTATGTGTCCTCTGCTCAACTAAGCTAAGCAATTCTTTTGGTACTTTATTATCATTTTGAAATTTTCATTTATCTTTTACCTTGTTGGATACACACTATTCTGCCCCATAAGAGGTAAAGAAATAAGAAGCTCACAATATTACAGATGTAGATAAATTTTCCTTAGTTTTATTTAATTATTTAAATAATACTTTGTTACCAGTACACTTGAACAGATGACCAATCTGGTCAATGTTTGATACAAAACTGCCATCACACATGGTTTATTTAAAGGGCTCCATGCTTTTAATAGGAAACCTATCCCAGTTTTCTTCATTTCATTACAGGAAGTACTGGAATTCCAATATTGGCTATGTACCACTGTTTACAAATGAAGAGTGTATTTCTATCCTTCTTGTCAGAACACTCTCAAAGAATACGATTACTACTTAATTAAAAGGCGTAGAAGATTCAGTATCTAACAATGAAACCATTATTATGCTTTGCAAGTTAAATAGCCATGTATTTTCAAAAAAAGCCTATTAATGTAATGTTTTAAGAAAACTCATCTTCATAAATACTGAAGGGAATGGTTTTTTTTTTTAAGTTAATATCTGAAAACGAAATTTGTAAAGGTTCAAAAAACACACATAATGAAATTTAAAAGAATGTTTAAGAAGTTCAAAGAGTATGATCTTATTCAAATCTACCACTTTAAACAGTCAAGGAATAAAGTATACATAAAATAAACTGGTTAACCTCCTTTTGTCTCCAACTTGCAAAACACAGGGAGTAAGAGGTGCTAATTAAATTTTCCTGTTATTTGCATAAATAACATGAACTTATTTCTAAAATCGTAGTTCAAGGCATTTGTAATTCTTGGATTAAAGAGAATATAAACTATTCTCTTTGACAGTATTTAATGGTAAAGTTTATTTTAAATTTCTATTTTGTTTAATAATTAAACGTGTCCAATGTCAAAACTCTATTCATTCTGTTTTTCATACCTCTTCTTACTCTTCCCCCTTATACTTGACTTTCTTCTGCTGTTCCTTATAATCCAAACTCTATTTTTTAAAGATTCCACATAATTCCCAACTTCAAAAAATCTTCCCTGACACGCTACTCCAGTGAATTTCCTACTCTTCAATTTTTTATATATAACCTGACATTTATTTACCATTTTTTTCATAAAATGCCTTCTGTCTTATGTGAATGTTGTATCTTTCCTACTGCCCTACTGCTACACCTAGAAATAAAGAAGGTAACAAACAGCAATTTATTCTTATAGCAAAACCTGTATTTTCAGAATTAAAAAGGTTCCCGATATCTATACTCCCACTCACTGTTCCCAATACTTATTACTTAAACCCTTACAATATACTAGCAGTTTTCACTCAGTTAAAAGCACAATGATGCAATATTTTTCAATAATAGTTTTCAGTATCAAAGATCAATAATCTATAAAGGCAAAGAGGAGCTGGCATGTGCTGAGATCACATAGTAGCATGAGAGGGGAGGTGCCAAGCTCTTTTTTAACAACCAGCTCTCAATGGAACTAACAGAAGAGCTCACTCATTACCTCCAGCACAGTACCAGGCCATTCATGAAGGATCCACCCCCATGATCCAAACACTTCCCATTTGATCCCATCTCCAATACTGGGGATGAAGTTTGAACATGAGATTTGGAGGAGTCAAATACCCAAATTACAGAAAGTGGGAAAAAGAAATTTTTGAAATATATTAACTATTTTCTTCTCTCTAATAGCAGGAGTCCAAATAACAACCACATAAGTTTAAAAAAAAAAAAAAAAGGCATTATTCATCTCACGGTGGTAAAAGAAACAAGCAAACAAAACCTAATAGCCCTTAAGGAATGTGTAGTATGTGCTCAATACCAAGCAAAAGTCTACTTATCTCTTTCAAAACTCACAGCACCACTAGGAGAGTGGTTCTGTTATTATTTACAGATTCAGAAGAAGAGACTGAGTTACTAGTATATTATGTAACTTACCCAAAATCACCCAATGTGTGAGGGGCAAAATAAATGCAAAATTTGCCTTTAGAGCCGAACAAATTACCCACTATGAAAGACTGTTTCTTGGTCTAAAAAATAATCAATTTCACATAAAATTAAAGAATAATACAGAAAATCAGGATAGAAGTTGTGATGTTAATACTGACTGTCAACTTGACTGGATTGAAGGATACAAAGTATTGATCCTGGGTGTGCCTGTGAGGGTGTTGCCAAAGGAGATTAATATTTGAGTCAGTGGGCTGGGGAAAGTAGACCTTTACTCTAGACGGGCACAAACTAATCAGCTGCCAGCACAGCTAGGATATAAGCAGACAGAAAAATGTGAAAAGAGAGACTGGCCTAGCCTCCCAGCCTACATCTTTCTCAAACGCTGGATGCTTCCTGCCCTCGAACATCAGGCTCCAAGTTCTTCAGTTTTGGGACTCAGACTGGCTCTCCTTGCTCCTCAGCCTGCAGATGGCCTATAGTGGGACCTTGTGAATGTGTGAGTTAATACTTAAGAAATTCCCCTTTATATATATATATATACACACACACACACACACACACATATTCCATTAGTTCTGTCCCTCTAGAGAACGCTTTATTACAGGAGCTATACTGAAAGAAAATGTCCAATTAAGATAACAATCTCACGCCTGTAATCCCAGCACTTTGGGAGGCCGAGGCGGGCGGATCACAAGGTCAGGAGATCGAGACCATGGTGAAACCCCGTCTCTACAAAAAATAGAAAAAATTAGCCGGGCGCGGTGGCAGGCGCCTGTAGTCCCAGCTACTTGGGAGGCTGAGGCAGGAGAATGGCGTGAACCCGGGAGGCGGAGCTTGCAGTGAGCCGAGATTGCGCCACTGCACTCCAGCCTGGGCGACAGAGCGAGACTCCGTCTCAAAAAAAAAAAAAAAAAAAAAGATAACAATAAGAATAAGCATTTTTCTTTACTTTGAGCTCTCTGACAAAAGGTTCAAAGTGTATTACTTTAAAGTGGCAAGGCAGACAAAAAAGCTACTACCTCTCTCACAAACGGCAACTCAAGATCAGGAGAGCCATCCTTAGGACTCACAATGATCTTTCCATTTGGTACAGATAGCAGTTCCCTGTTTACGTCTGTGAAGGTTTTTCAGTCATTTACAAATGAATTTCAAATACTGATTGTATTAAAAAGTATACCATAAGCAATGAACATATTTTTCAGTTATACTGCCTCTCCCTCTTTCCTCAAACTCTCAAAAACAAAAACAAAACAATTAACCTTTCTCCAAAGAGCTGGGATAAACTCAAACTACGTTTCATTTGAATCCTGCCACAACTGATTGCCCTAAGTATGGTTTTTAAAGCTTCTCCTAAGGACAATAACTCTGGGGTGGGCGGGGGGAAATCTATTATTTTTCAACCCCACATCACAGTCTAGCTTTGTAATTTCTTGTCCAAAGAATTCTATAGTAATAAGAATTCGATAGTAATGCACTAATAAAATATCACTCACCCCATATTTGTTTCAAGAAAACAGCGTTATTATTAATCACATGACAATACACTGACTCTACACTTTTACATTTAAGGTGGATACACAGCGCCCTCTGCTGCACAAGCTGAGTAAACATCAACCAAGTTCAAAGTATTCAAAAACAAAGCATGGGCTAAAAAAAAAAAAAGTCTGGGAAATCCATAATTGCGATGAATATTTTGCATTTTGGAACATTACTCTTGTATAGATTTTGACATTCTCTATATGCAGTGAATCATTTTCTTTCACACGCCCAGAGTTCTTAGCTGGATCATTTTCTATTTAACCTATATTTACAGGGTGGAATAGTTTGTCTGGGGTAAGTCCCCCAAAAATATCAGTGAAATGAAATCTGCATGTCTCCTTCTTCTGCTCCATCCCCCATATCAAAAAACTAGACACAGATGATACAGTGGAAGTCTGATTACAATTCAAAACCACTTTAATCTAAAGCAGAATCTTAGACTCTAAACCTGCTTGTGCTGGCAAATGAGA